GACCAGCCCGGGGGGCGCGCAGGGCCGGTGCCGCACGAGGCGGGCGGGCGGGCCTTCAGGGGCGGCCCCTGGCGCCCGGGGGGAGTCATTCTCCCCTCGCCTCTCCCTACCCAAAGCCACCCCTCCCCACACGTACCCACACACACGCTCTCTCACAGCTTGTCGTGTTGTTTAAAACAGGTGGAAGACCTCTGTAATGATATTATGCCTTTCAATAAAAATTTTATGAGGTGTATTTGATTATAGATTAATGTGTCCCTAATAAAACGGACGGATGGAGCAGCTTCGAGGGCCCCCTCCGCTGCCGCACTCACACACGCCCGCGCAGCCACACACACACCCGACGTGAGGCTGAGCACACGCCGCGGCCCGAGGGCTGAGCTGGGGCGGCCCGGCTCTCGGGCTGCGAGCCCCCGGGCACGGCAGCAGCGGCTTCTGTCTGCCCTTCGGAGGGGCCGGCGGGCGGGCCAGTCGCACGGCGCGGCCAGTGGCGGCCAGAGTGCCCCGTCTTCTCCAGAGCTGCTGGAAAGGCCCTGGAAGAGAACATGCCACGAGATAGAACCCAAATGCTAGCCGGTCCCACTCCCGCCCGTCACCCTGGCCCTGCCTCAGTGAGGCCAGCGGGAACCGCGTCTCCCCCAGCAGGGCCGCTCTGGGCGGTTCGCACTTAGAGGCCTCCAAGGGATGTCTGAAAAATCGGCCGAATGGCCAGGTCTCGGGGCCACTCCCTTCCGAACTGTTTTTTTCCTCCAGAGGTAAGGCTGGGCAGCCTTGAATCTGAAGAAAATGCCCATTGTCACTCCCAAATCCATGGTACAAAGCCTCGGAAGACCGGCTGGGAGCCAAGACAAAAGCGGCCCGGGCGCCGGCGGAGGGCATGTTCCTCGCTCTACAAGTTGCCCAGCGTACCCTTGGAGGGCTCCCAGCCCACCTCCAGCCCGGGAAAGGAAGGCGGTAAATGGCTGCTTATGGCCTGCCTGATTGATTGCCTTTGCCAATGGCTTTCTGATTTTGTTTCAGAGGGGCTGCCTTTGCTTGCAGCACAGGTTTTTCTCTGAGATGTGCCCCCTATCAACAACTAATGGTGCTCCCCACATCGCTGGGAGAAATTACGAAGTTAAATTTACCCTCCTTCTGCCCAAGTAGAGTAAATCTGGGGCAAATCTATTCCAGTGTTCCCAACCTGACACTGATTCAAAGCTCTCTTTCACACTCTCAGGAAATGCCCCCTTAAAGGGTTCTTTCTTGGAACTCGGAAATATTCCTGATTTTAGGGAGGAAGTTAAGAACTCCGAATAAGTACTGAGTGTCCTAAAGACTCCCTGGATGGGGGCTCTGAGGCTTAGAGCGCCTAAATGGATTGTTCTTAGGGGGAAAAGGGGGGGGGTGTGTGAAAAAGATGTGTTTTGTGAAACTGCTTGATGCTGTTGGAGACCCTCTGAAACCGCAAGCAGGACCCGGGGCAACGAATTCTCTGTCAGTTATTCCCTCCAAGGCCTTCTCTTCCTTTTCTTTGGCAGGACTAGATACATCTGGACTCTCAGGTGGGGATCCTGCTGAAGCCAGTGAAAGCTGGCAGGAGTTTTTCCCAGCCATGGCGGCAGATGGAACATTAGAGGGAAGTCATATTCATTTGCAAATTCTTTCAGTCACCCCTTCTGCTTTTTCTTGCCTCTCAGGTACATTGGCTTCAGTATTTTGTAATTAAATAGAAGGAGGATTAACTGGAAAGAATTCTTTTTCATTTGCTCCTTCAAAAATTTTTCATGTGGGCCACTGGAAGATGACTGAGCATAAAATCATTCCACAAGAAAACCAAGGCAAAGTGGGATGGGAAAACTCACCCATCTTTGGCTTTGCTGGGATCTGGCTGTCTTGAGTTTGGAATGGGAGTGGAATTGAGGGAACGGGGAGCAGAATCGGATCCGATGCAATGCTAAACCGCTGCTTGTCCTTGCTTCTGTAATGGAGGCCGGCAGCTTCCAGGTGGGCAACACTAGTTTCAACCTAGCCCCTGATGATGGCTTGCCAGCCAGAAATCTCCAAGATCCCACTGAAATCATTAAAAATAACACAACCAAAAGCAAAGGGAAGAAAACACACAAATGGGGAGCTGAGAGGAAAAAGCGGCTTGGGGCACAGGTTTACTTACCAGGCTCGGGCTAGAGGGAAGCTCACACTCATTGAGATTGCAATTATGTTACTATCATTGGGCACTGGGAAAGAAGAGAGGGCTCCCTTTTCCCCCAAGTTTGAAAGCTGCACACCCACTATTCCCCCACTACTCTCCCCCCACTACTGCCAAATTCCAGCACCCTAGGCCTCCTCCAGCTTTTCCCTCCCATCTCCTCTCCCCTGCTTTCTATCACTCCACCACTCAATTGCCCCAGACAGGCAATTTAACAGGAAGATAATCTCACCCAAGGCTTTCATTTCCACCATAACATATTTTCATTTCAGAAAGCAGAAGGAGCAAACTCGTTTCCAGAGTTTATTGCATTATACATGCGACCAGAACATGCACAGAAAGGACAGGTTGCTGTTGTACGTCTACCAAACCACAGATGCACCACAAGGGAAAGGCTACAAGGCATAAATTGTCAATATTCCATCGCACCAGGGACAATTGCTAAGTTCATTTGTGAAAAGGTACATTGTAATGTGCTTTTTTAGTCCCCCTCCCCCCAAAGCTTGTGGGTTTTCTTAATCTTTTTTAAATATATATGTAATTTTTAAAGTAGTGGATGTATTCAAAATGCCATGAGTTCATGGGCAAACCACACACAGAGACCTTTTGTGTTAGGAAAAACATGAAAAAGTCACATTGCTGGATGGACAGATGGATGGATAGCTGGATGCTCTACAGTTCCAATAAGTTAAGACCCAAATGAAAATGCGCAGTAATAGTTACCCTGCATTATGATGAAAAAATAATAAATTACACGTGCTAAGTTTTTTAATATATATACTCATAGGGATTACAGATCACTTGCAGCACGAACAGAATGACCCCAAAGTCACATTCTAGCAGGAAAACAAAACAAAACAAAACAGAAAACAAAGAGCAATGAAGGTTTTGTTTCCACCTTCCCAGTCTTCCAGCACTGGGCCCTGGAACACGGTGCCCCTTCTCGGATCCTGGCCTCCGACCGGCCTCGGACCTAAGAAAAGGTGAGGTTGGCGGTCAGTTCTCGGATCCGGTTCTCTCGGCTCATCTTCTTGAGTTTCATTCGGCGGTTTTGAAACCAAATCTTGACCTGCCTGTCGGTGAGGTTAACGCTCTTACTGATCTCTAGGCGGCGCTCGCGGGTGAGGTACATATTGAACAAGAACTCTTTTTCTAATTCCAGCGTTTGGTGCTTAGTGTAAGGGCACCTCTTCTTTCTGCCACTCTTTGCAGTGAGCCAATTGCTGGTTGGAGTATCAGACTTGATTTCCTCTAACAAAATTAAAGGGAGAAGAAGAAAAAAATCAAGATTTTTTTTTTTCTCTCAGTCTGCTCAAATGTACCCTTGGCCATGACCCTGCTGGCAGCCAGGCCGCTTTGGGAAATGCTGGTATTAAACATTACTCACACAAGATGGGCCCTGGAAGGGATTTTAAATTGATGCCAGATTAGAGCTAAATGCCCTAAATGACATGTTGGGAGGACACTGTGCATCAGAGTCTCTCTCTCTCTCTCTCTCTCTCTCTCTCTCACACACACATACACACACACAACTTTCTGACTTGCACATAACACTGGTACAATAGTAAACTTTCCAGGATCTCCCCAGCGACATTCTAAGTGGTGAACTCACGAAAGGGCCAGAGTGGAAGAAGCCACAGCCTGGACAAGCCTACCAACCCCACTGCTACCTCAGGTCCCCAAGTCTGCTGCTTCTTCCCCACCTCTCTTAGGCAAGCAGGGAGCCCCACAGCCAGTTTTATAGGTGGTCATTCTCTTTCAAATTATAAATGAGAAAGCAAGGACACCTTATCCACCCTGCCCAAACATTGTTGCATTCCCCAGAATTTCTTGAATTCCCGTGCCTTTTTGTCCCCAGACAAAAGCATTACTCCAGAAATGTAGCCTCTACTGTGGCTCACCTCTGGACACTGGGGGAGAGACTCGGGGGCAGGGCATTTTCTCTAAAAACCAGATCGCTGGTCTTTTGCCCTAGTCCAGCCCTAAGGCTTTCTGGCCCTGCAGAGTGGGCAATGCAGGTTCCATTCTCCCCTCTCTGCCTTTGCCCTCTTTGCTAACGGACTGCAAAGCCTGCGGCATTTCCCCCAGACAAAGCCAAGGTTACCTAGCCCAGCAAAAGCAGGAAGCCCTCTTTCCCCAACCCAAGCGCCAACTGGCCAGCCGTCTCGTTCCCCTCGCTGCCCACAAGCTCGCAGGATGCGGGGTGCATACACTTGAACACGAACACGGTGTCTTGGACTGCCTTAAAATGATAATTGGGCACAAGGCAAAGCTGGGACTGCAAATCTGAGCAGCAGAAAGGAGGCTCCGGGGCCGTGTTTACAAGCCGCAGGTCTCCTTTGCGCTCTTTTGTTGCATTTCAGGTCTGGCTGAGGAAAAATAAACACGGCAAGCCTTTCCTCTGCCCGGGCGCCATCAGCATGGGGCCAGGACTGGCCAGGAGAGCTAGTGCTACGGGGGAGAAGCGGGGACCATCTCGGGGCTGAGATTGCTCCTCTAAAAGCTGGGCAGAGCAGCACCTGTCAACTCGGGCGCCTGCCTCGGCAGCCTGGGCTTGGCGCTGGGCACCCGGGCGCTCCCTCTCCGCCGGGTTCCCGGGCTGCGCGCCTCGCTGGGGGTGGCAACTGTTCATACCGACCTTTGCTTTCCTTCTCCTGCACTTCTGGACTGGACACGGAGACCTCAGCTAGGCAGCTCCTCTCTTCAGGAAGGCCGCCTTTGGCCTCAGGGCTTTCCACCTGGGAGACTTTGGTGGACTCCTGGCCGTTCGCGGGCTCATTCATCTTCTTTTCCATTTGCAGCTGGGCAGCGGAGAGCTGCGGCTTGGCCGCACCACGAGGGTTGAGCTGGAGCATGACAGTAGAGCTGCCTTCGGGGCTGTTATTGTACTCTTGGGTTTTCCCGGTGGCGTAGGTCTGACTCAGTCTAAAATATCCAGGGACGGGAACCTCGGGGTTCTCAACGGGACAGGACTCGGGGACCAGCCTCTGGTACGAAGGGACCTCGGCAGAAATGAGTTTGTTGCGCTTATCAGAATACATGCAGCAATTGGATTCTTCCTTAATGTTGGTGGTGAAGGAGCAAGTGGGGACTTGCTGTGTAACAGGTTGCTCTATTCGACAAGATCTGTTCGGGTCTGTCCAACTGTCTACTTGAGGTATATAAGGATGCACATTCATACCCATATTTTGGTGGTTCACCTCTCTTTTGGCCAGAGACGGGAGCAGTCCACAGGTTTGCATTCCATAGGTCCCCATATCTGCGCTAGGTGGTGGCATGTACATGCTGGCGCTGCTCGAATAAAAACTGTCACTCCTGCAGGCACTGATCAAGGAATCTACTAAAAAAGTATTAGCAGCAGGAGAGCTGTTGGGAAAGGACATTTTGGGGAGGAATTTGAAGAAGAGAGATTGTGTCCTTTGTAGGCTGACATCTCTAGGAAAACATTCCCCGTGTAATTGTGGATTCCTCTGCCGACCACATGACAACCAAGCCAATGAGATTTGAAAATGGCCTTGAGCCGCAGCCTCCTCGTAGGTCACGTGCTCCAGAGCCTGGCCGGCCGGCCGCGTAAGCACGGACAACAGCGACATCTACTACGCGCCCGTGATAGTGCGCGCTGGAGACAACCGGCCCAGCGCTTTTTGCTGCCCGCCCGCCTTCCCGGGGCTCCCTCGGCCCGCCCGCCCGCTCCACTCGCGTCCACTGCCTCGGCCACCGGACCCCACTGGCAGAAGGAATGGCTTTGACAGAGGTGCCTCTGGGAGCACACGCGCGGGGAGGGAAGCCTGAGCGCCGTGGCGCCCTCACACAGAAGCATTCCCCCGCACACACCCAGGCAGAATGCGCCCAAGAGGGTCGGGTCCCGGGCAGGGGGTGGAGGCGCAGGCTGGTTAATTTAGTCCCGTGTAGCAGCCAGGGAAGGTGAGTCAGATTCCCGGACCCTAAGACCTCCCACCCCCGGGGTCCAAAGGAAAGATCCCTTGCGCAAAGACACGGCCAAGGTGTCCTGGGAAGCGGAGGCTAAATGGGCCGCGAGGGCCGAGAGGCCACGCAGCTGGCCGGCTCCGGAGCTCAGAGGATGGGCCCGGCCCAGACGTTGTCCTCTCTCTCGGCCCTCCCGCCCGACTCCGGGCCCCTCCGCGCCCTGGCGGGCTACAACAGCCTTCGCCTCTCAGCTCTCAGAGGAACCACACCCTGACCTCTGTGGGGCCAGGCCGCTGGGAGCTTGCAGCCCGGAGACAATCCTTCTCCAGCAGTTCCCAGTCTGGGAAAGCGTCCCTCAGGCTCCCAGGGGGAGAACGAAACCGAGGTTTACCTCCGCACACACCCTGATAATAGAGGGCAGAAAGGAAGGGAGGAAGAGAGAAATAAAAGAATTTTTAAAAAGAAAGGAAAAAACTCTGACCCTCAGATTCCAGAAGTTTTAGAAAACTGACTGGGCCAAGCAGGAGAGAGAAATGCAAAGGTGTCATTTGGTTCTTCTGCAAAGAAAAATATGTTTTCCTTTTATGGATTTTGTAAAAGCATTGGTTTCTGACAAGTGCAAGGTACAAAAGGTTGTGGAATTTATTAATACATATTAAGAAGAATCAGGGCGATCAATAAAATTCTCATCTACATTCTTGGGCTACTTGGTAATTTTCTTGCTTCTGAAGGTTTTTAAAGAGTTATACCCGCTGTTGCCACACACGGGAAGATATTTTATTAACAAATCAATCGAGACTTTGTAAAGGATAAGATTAATAGTTAAGATTTAGCATAATGGCGTTCGCTTTATGAATTATTGAAAATTATACTATTGATTTTTCCCCTTCGCTACTAACCAGGAAGGTCAATTTTTGTTTTAACACAAATCGTCAAATATTAAAAGCAATACTTTTGTCAGAAGTTGAGTTTTATAGTTTTGGACAATTCCTAAAATTATTTGACAAGGTTTTGCTTCGGTAACTGGTGGAAAAGAGGTGGGGGAATCTTAGTCTTCTGTTTCCTTTGGTGAGGAGAAAGTTCTATAAAGAGAATATGCTCTGGGTTGTGGTCCAGCTCATTAAAGAACAACCACCACCACCACCACCATGGAAACTCAGAGTTTTATGAGAAACTTCAACAACTTCCTCCCTCCTTCTCTGGTTGCAGGCGGGTGAGCCGCCCTGCGGAAGCCCCGGCCTCCGGGCAGCAGCGGGGAGCTTTAACCTTGATTTCCAAAGGCTCGCCCTGAGCTAGGGGCCCGACCAGGGCACAGGAGCCGTCCTTCGGTCTTCCGGATGCCCTTCCCCGCAGCCAAGAAAGTAAACGGCCCCGGAAACTCTGACCGTGAACCAGTTCTCCGTCCGAGAAGGCATCCGTGTTCTCTTCTCCCCACACTAGCCAGGGCATGGGCTGGCCTTGGATTTCAGGCCCAGAGACTGAACTTGTGGGTAAATCGGGTTTCCGCCTCAGCAGAACATTTCTTTAGGGCCCGATGCTCATTAAAGAGCCTGGACATTCTGGGGGACCTCATAGCCCGCCCGCTCCTTCACAAAAACCTTTTCCTACAAATCCTTTGTCGCCCCCTCTCCAAAAGGAATCTCCCCTGGCCTAGTGGAAACAGGCGGTGAACATTATTTTCGGCCTTGGGATCGCTTCGCCTGTCCCCTCTCAGTGCCCTCGCCCAAACAATAACCCCTTTTAAAAAACTCCGCGGTGGCAATGAGACAGACCTTTTAAACCTTTATGCAGCTGTTCAAATACAACATCATTGTCAGGTTAAAAGCCTGGCGCCTCTAACTGCTCGGGCTGCAGCACCCGGCATAGCCTCAGGTTTAAACATTACCTTTCTATAGGGGTGACTGTTTCTGAGCTCGGGGGTGGGGGTTAAGAAAGGGAGAAAGAAGAGCCCCAACTTTTGACTTTAGACTGCTAAGGTCCTATTCAAAGCTAACAGCCACTGACCAGCACCCCGAAATTTGCTTTCTCACATCATGGAGATCTTCTTTCGAGCCACGACTAAGCGTGCCCAGAGCTGGAAAAAGTGCCCGCTGCACTCAGCTCGCGGCAGGCGCTCTGACGCCAGTTTGGTGCTATAGCATTGTCGTTCCTTTGCATCTTAGCCAGGAGAAATGCCGCCCAATTTTCCCTGTGCCAAGCGAAGCAAGACTGTTCAATCTAATCAGGAATTTTATGCCCATCAAATGCTCTTTCATAATCTTTATTTATACATGAAGAAAACATCCAGGCTAAAAACAAGCAATGCCTTTTGGAGCGGGTAAGTCTGCAGTGAGCCAGGACAGACAGGATCTGTCTTTCGAATTTGGGGGCCTTTCCATTTCAGTTTCTGGTGACTTCAAGCTTAAAGGCACCCCAGCGTTGGATTAGATTTTAAATAGGTTCTCACTCACAGAAAAAAAAAAATGTGTATATCAGGTATAATTTCAAATTTATTCTCACAAAATTCTATCTTTTCTGTTTCCAATTTCTGCCTTCAAACCGGCTCCTTGAGGCCAGAGACTGTCCATATTTTAGAGAGATTCTATCATTAAAAATCAAAAATAGAAATAACACAAGAGAATAATCTGGGCTGGGGAGGATGGAAACTGAGCCTACAACTCTAAGGCTGAGATGAAGCAAATGTAATGAAAAAGCAGTAGCTTTAAAGCCAGCCTTGATTTTGCTTACGAGTATTTAATGTAGCTGCTGTTTTCGATCATCTTTAGATCAGCTGGAGTGGTTATCATTAATAATAAATCAATATTGCACCATAAAGGAGATGAATACCCGTATTTGTACCAAGACACCCTTCTCCCTTGCACAGTTGTTTCCAGAGAAAAATTAAAAGGGTCGCCTTAGCAAGAAATTAGCATTTGTAATAAAAAAAGTGGCTTGCATCTGCTCTATTTTGTCTCCGGGAAGAAGAGTGGAGGCCTTGAGCCTGAGTGGACCTTGGGATTTCTAGGGTCGCTCTGAATTAGGGACCTGAATCGCTTCTGGGCTGTGTCACTCTTTGGGAGCAAAGTGGATGGGGACAAATTAAAAGCTGCCTCCCCAAGACGCCCCTCCAGGTCGCACCGCGCACCTCCTGGCCAAGGTGAAAAGAAATCGAAGGAGCAAATGAGGAGGCTAGCACCGTCGCGATAAGGAGTCTACAGATACACGCAAAAGGGCTGGCGGCCGAGAGTCTCTTTCTGTACCGACACAAAAGACTCCTACTTCGCGCATTTTCTCTCCACTTCAGAGTCTGAGACCTCGGCGCCTCAGGATCCATGGGCACCCTCTGCGAACCCCACATGCTCTGAAAGGTCAGGGAGGGATAGGTCTTCATCCCCGAGGTCCTGTTCTGATCCCCTGGCCCTTGTCTGGCCCGTCTTGAGTGCTGCTGTGAGGAAAGGAATTGCAGACCGTGTAGCAGCCTTAGTCTGGGGGCGGCTGCCACCCAAGACCAAGGGGCCCCACACAGCCAGATGCGCCGCTGCTGGAGGAACACAACGACATTGGGGGGGGGGTTCACCCTACTTAGACTGAGGCTCCGGTTCGGCCCCAGGGAAGGTCATTTCACAGTAACTAAGCTGGACCTGTGGCCAGACGGAGAGCTGGGGATACCCCCAGGGAACACCCACACTTCTCGCTGGCACCTAGCTGGGGACTCACAGCGCCCCAGCCTCCAAGTAAGCCAATGCCAACTCCCAGAAGCAGGCGAACGAGCAAACTGGGGGCCCCAGGCCTTTGGTCCAGGCTTGGAGGGAGGGAGACAGAGACAGCAGAGCCGAGGGGTCCAGCACTAATTCTGGGGGCTGCGGGCACTTCACAATGAATTTGGGGGGCTACAAAGAGGCAGCCATCCTCCCTTAGAGCGTCCCATGTCCATGGAGCCCTGTCCCTTCCCTTTTTGACCGCAGATGGGGACACTGTCCCTCCCCTGGGCTTTGTGGGGCTGGTAAGGCACATGGCGAGTAAAATGCTTCTGAGGATGGGTGCTGAAATCAAAATTCGCGCCTCAAGGCTGGCGGGCAGCTTGTAAGGGTGGCCAGGCTTCTGTCAAACGCAAAGTCCGTTTGCTTCAAATACATTCCCTGTTCCACAGTGCCTTGAAGTGTAAATGCTTCCTGGGAGAGCTTGCTGCCTCCCGTGGCCGAATCAGTCCAGCCCGGCCTGGGCACCCCAACTCATAGTCCTACCAAGTGCCTCATGGTCGCCACGGGTAGACTCTGGCTCCCTTGCCCAGAATGACCCCCTGAACTCCCGATGCGTCTCAGTTTTTCTGAGACCACACTCAGCTGAGTTGCCGGCGCCCTGATCTGTCTTAAACAAAAGTCTTTTAATCACCTCAGGCATTCTGAAAGCACACGAGACTGATGCGGGTTTTTTGGGGGCGGGGGGTCCTACCTTGAACATCCTCTCCACACTTAAGCCAACAAGAAAATTGATTTCTCCTAATTTAATTAACTCGTAGTAGCCATGGCATATCTCAAAATGCATATAGTTGTCTTTTAAAAATCCTCGACACCATCAGGTTATACCAAGGTATTCTTTGCAACAGCTTAATCTTTAAGGATACAACGATTAGGAGACCTCCTGTTTCATAAATCTGGTTGCTCTCTTTTTTTCTGTCTCTATACAACCTCTCATACCTCATGGCTGCTTAGAACAAACAGCAAACACCTTAGCTGCCCCCCGTTTCTAATAACGGGCTGAGATCGCCTTTAGAATTCAGTATCAGAAAGATAAGGTACCGGGCCTCTCGGCCAAACGTGCTTTTCTGGAACATGAGCGCGCCCTCGTGTGGCTCTCCAGGCCCCTGCAAACGGGAAATGGTATCTCGGGTTCGGCTTGCCTATGGTGAAAGGCATACGAACTTGCTAAACGAGGATGCAATTTAAAAAGAGAGAGAGAGAGGAATAAACTAATTTTAAGTTCTTGGGACGATCATAATATTAGGGTACTAACATTTTAACCGATGCCCAGAATTCCAAACAAAGGAATCCCCTTCCGAACGAAATTATTCAATCGTAGGCTTTGTTTCTATTGCCTCTTTTGAGAATGCTTTTAAAAACAATATAAATATATTTTCTTTTGTTCCATATTATAGAAAGTGCAACAATTTATTTTACAGGGTAGCAAATTGCTTTCAAATATAATGAAGGTGGAAGCCTGAACAGAACTTCCTCTTTCAAATGCCTGCTTTTAAAACAGCAGTTCCTCATTAGGAGCAAAGGGGGGCACTATCTAAGACCCTCCAAAAACACCCCCAGCATTTCCTATCTGTAGTGAAAGCATGCCAGAAGGCATTATAATCTAAACAGTATTTTAAAAAGAAGTCAATTGCTATTGAATTACACTAATGTTCGGAGGGAAATTAAGGTTATTGATCCTGAAATTAGGAATTTTCTTAGATTTATGGTGAGCCCCAGATATGATTCTGTGTGGTCATAAACATGTGTGTGGGTCTGGATGTGTGTGAGCATGTATGTGTGAGAGTGGGTGGTGGTTGAAAATCACAGAAGAATCTTAAGGTGCCTAATTATTCAGAAAGGTTAAAGGTGATGACCTTGACATTTTGGAAGTTCAAAGGCATACGCTTATTCACTTATGTTCCCCCCCCCCAAGAAAAGCCTAGCAATTTAAAATTTTTTTGCATTTCAATATGCATGCCTCCTCAGATGCATGGGGTGCTGTGCATCTTATGGATTCATATTTTGACTTTGGGCTTAGAAGAGGTTAAGAGTCATAAGATTCACTTCAATTCTCTTCAGAGAAAGAGAAGCTTTTCTCACTTCTCCAGTTTATTGCACATTGCGGAAATCTCTTTTGGGCCCACCAGAAGGTGTATAATATAACCCAATTAAGCTGTTTAGAACTTTGGCTTTTATGGTGTTGTCTAGACAGTTCAAGGTTTTGTAAACAGCCTGGCCTGGCCCTGTAACATAAAGTGCAGTGCAGCCCTCACCACATTCTTTAACTTGAAGCGATAAATGCGGTGAGAAGTGGGTCTGCAGCCCCTGGCCCTATTCCAGTGAGGGGGGCTTACCTTCCCTGCTCCAGGCCCATTATGACACCAGCAAGGAAGCCATACCCTCTCCACTCACTAACTTCCTTTTAGAAAACTTTTTTCCCCCCCAATGGAGGGTTCTATTTTTTTTTTTTAATCTTTTAAGGAACCCTGGCTCCTTGTTACTTTGTTAAGTAGAATTTGTATTTTCTAATGTTTTTAAAAATGGTTTTTGTCTTTTCAGAAATTCCAGGTTCACTAGACTTAGGGATTAGGGGTGGGAATTTACTTCTTAGGTTCTTGCTGCCCCAGCCTCACTGCTTGGAGAAAACAGCACAGTATGGTTGGGTCACATCGTCAATTCAGAAATTCATCGCTAATGTGATTTTTAAAAACCAGTGTAGCCTAGAGGGGTTGCGAGGGAACAACTCCTATTTTAACAGGATTAGAAAGTATTTCACTTGCTTTTCGGTTGCATGGGGGGAAGAAGGTTCTGTCCACTAAAATATCCTAATCGGGCACTAAACTTTAAGAGGAAAATTCATACAGTGTATTGAAGCTGTAACCTCCATTTTTACTAGAAACCATTTATTCACACAAAAAAGACAGTGACTCATGCCTTGATATGACACACCAAAGGTACATTTCCCAGAGTTTAAATAATCTGCATTCACCGAGGGGGAAGGAAGGGGTCTCTTAAGCTCAGAACAAAACACCAGCGCCTTCTAGCCCTGCGGCCTAACTCCCTACAGATCCCGCCGCGTCCCCACGAGGACTTGGAGAGGGGGAGAGGGAACAACAGCAAGGTGGCGGTAAAACTGTAAAGGGACAGATCGCATTTACCATTTTCCCCTTATTAGGATCCGCTCGGCCAAGTCCCCGGCCTCGTCCGCAGGCTGCAGTCGCTGGGAGGTCTCGAGTTGACCGTGGGAAGAAATCGTGAAGTTCCACAGAGAAGAGGCGTCATTAAACCCAAGGATATTGGGCCTGCGGAGGGCAGGCTGGTGGGGAGGAGGGTGGGTGAGTGGGACTCTGGGGAGGGGGTGCTTCCTGGAGCTCTCAAAATAAGGGGTTTCCAGTGAAATACTGCAGACGATCTCTGTTCAGTTTCTTTTCTTTCATCCTGCGATTTTGGAACCAGATTTTGACTTGCCGGTCAGTCAGGTTGAGCATCCGAGAGAGTTGGAGTCTTTTCTCTTTGTTTATGTACACGTTAAAGAAAAACTCGCGTTCCAGTTCGCGGATCTGGTACTTGGTGTAAGGACAGCGCTTTTTCCGGGACCGCTGGGGGGCCACTGCAAGGCAAAGAGACCAAGGGGTGAGAGAGGCTGTTGCCTGCCGGTCCCCACCAGCCTTCCCGGGTTACTGAGCGAGGTCCAGGCCCTAGTCCTGTTGGGGACGTCCCCTGCCGCTGCTGAAAGGCCCTGCCTGCGTCGTGGGGGATGATATATGGGCGGGCAAAGGAGAGAGTGCGGGCGTGGACGTGTGTTCACGCCCGGACACACACACACACACACACACACACACACACACACACACACACACACACACACAGCCTGGCACGAGGTGAGGAAGCAGAGGGAGAGGCAGGCTCTGAACTGGAACTCGAAGGGAGAGAGACAAGAGCACGCCCGCTGGGGCATCTGCTCGACTCCAGTGGCGTGCGTCAGCCAGAGGCTTGGATAAAGTCCAGTGCAAGACCCCCCCCCCCTTAAAAGCGGGAGGCTTGGGTGTCCCCACTCGCTAACTAGTTCGGTGAAATTCCCCTCCTTCCCTTCATGATCCCTATCAAACCCCTGCCCAAAACTAGGGAAAAGCTCTCTGCAGCGATTATGTCCTCCTTGAAGTCTACCTTAAGCCCACCTAAATTGGTTTCCTATCATAAACACGCTTTACAACGGCCCGGGAAATCTTATAGGATGTATAAACCCCTTCGAATGCTTATAAAGTAGCACATAAAACGGCGCAAGCAGAGGGAGGCCCCCGCCACCCCCCCGCACCCGCGGTCCCCGGGCCCAGCCGCTTGCCCCGCGCCCGG